CTGGAGAGAGAGGAAATGTAGAGGAAGAGAGAGTTTGGGGGAGATTTTTTAAGTGAATGTATAGGAGCCTTTAAACCCAAGTGAGAGAGTAATTGTGGTGGGGGGCCCTGAATGAAAAGTAGGAGAAATTTTAAAGAGAGGGTGTGGTAGGTAAGTTTGGGGTGCCAGGTGTAAATGAAAATGGGAGCCTTTGATTGAACTTTGTATAGAATGGGGTTAGTTATAGGTAATACATATTTTAAGAAAAAGAGGATAAATAAGTATAAAGATATGATGTAGGGCGAAATGACAGTAGTTTGTTGGATTATGTATTGGTAGATAAAAGACTGTTGTGTAGACTTCAGGATGTAATGTTTATAGAGGGGCCACAGATATATCAGATCCTTTCTAGTTATAGCTACATGAGAGTAAAAGGTAGTGGGATACAAGGAGAATAGAAGCATCAGGGAAGAGAGAGGTGAAGGTTTATAAAATAAAAGAGGAGGCAGTTAGGGTAAGATACAAAAAGCTATTGGAGGATTAGATGGGCTAATGAGAGCATAGGCAATGGGGTTGAAGAGGTATGGGGTAGGTTTAAAAATGTATGTTAGAGTGTTCAGCAGAAGTTTGTGGTTACAGGAAAAATGGGTCGGGAGGAGAAGAGGAGCAATTGGTGGAATGATGATGTAAAGAGGTTTGTAAGGGGAGAAAAAGTTAGCATATGAGAAGTTTTTTTCAAAGTAGAAGTGATGCAAGGAGGGGAAGAGTTTTGTGGAGAAAAAAAGAGAGGTTAAGAGAGTGGTGAAGCAATGTAATAAGAGAGCAAATGAGAGAGTGGGTGAGATGTTATCAACAAATTTTGCTGAAAATAAGAAAAAGTTTTGGAGTGACATTAACAAGTTAAGGAAGCCTAGAGAACAAATGGATTTGTCAATTAAAAATAGGAGAGGAGAGTTATTAAATGGAGAGTTAGAGGTATTGGGAAGATGGAGGGAATATTTTGAGGAATTGTTAAATGTTGTTGAAGATAGGGAAGCTGTGATTTCGTGTATAGGGTAAGGAGGAATAACATCTTGTAGGAGTGAGGAAGAGCCAGTTGTGAGTGTGGGGGAAGTTCGTGAGGCAGTAGGTAAAATGAAAGGAGGTAAAGCAGCCGGGATTGATGGGATAAAGATAGAAATGTTACAAGCAGGTGGGGATATAGTTTTGGAGTGGTTGGTGCAATTATTTAATAAATGTATGGAAGAGGGTAAGGTACCTAGGGATTGGCAGAGAGCATGCATAGTTCCTTTGTATAAAGGCAAAGGGGACAAAAGAGAGTGCAAAAATTATAGGGGGATAAGTCTGTTGAGTATACCTGGTAAAGTGTATGGTAGAGTTATTATTGAAAGAATTAAGAGTAAGACGGAGAATGGGATAGCAGGTGAACAAGGAGGCTTTAGGAAAGGTAGGGGGTGTGTGAACCAGGTGTTTACAGTAAAACATATAAGTGAACAGTATTTAGATAAGGCTAAAGAGGTCTTTGTGGCATTTATGGATTTGGAAAAGGCATATGACAGGGTGGATAGGGGGGCAATGTGGCAGATGTTGCAGGTGTATGGTGTAGGAGGTAGGTTACTGAAAGCAGTGAAGAGTTTTTACGAGGATAGTGAGGCTCAAGTTAGAGTATGTAGGAAAGAGGGAAATTATTTCCCAGTAAAAGTAGGCCTTAGACAAGGATGTGTGATGTCACCGTGGTTGTTTAATATATTTATAGATGGGGTTGTAAGAGAAGTAAATGCGAGGGTCTTGGCAAGAGGCGTGGAGTTAAAAGATAAAGAATCACACATAAAGTAGGAGTTGTCACAGTTGCTCTTTGCTGATGACACTATGCTCTTGGGAGATTCTGAAGAGAAGCTGCAGAGGTTGGTGGATGAATTTGGTAGGGTGTGCAAAAGAAGAAAATTAAAAGTGAATACAGGAAAGAGTAAGGTAATGAGGATAATAAAAAGATTAGGTGGTGAAAGATTGGATATCAGATTGGAGGGAGAGAGTATGGAGGAGGTGAATGTATTCAGATATTTGGGAGTGGAAGTGTCAGCAGATGGGTCTATGAAAGATGAGGTGAATCATAGAATTGATGAGGGGAAAAGGGTGAGTGGTGCACTTAGGAGTCTGTGGAGACAAAGAACTTTGTCCATGGAAGCAAAGAGGGGAATGTATGAGAGTATAGTTTTACCAACGCTCTTATATGGGTGTGAAGCATGGGTGATGAATGTTGCAGCGAGGAGAAGGCTGGAGGCAGTGGAGATGTCATGTCTGAGGGCAATGTGTGATGTGAATATAATGCAGAGAATTCGTAGTTTGGAAGTTAGGAGGAGGTGTGGGATTACCAAAACTGTTGTCCAGAGGGCTGAGGAAGGGTTGTTGAGGTGGTTCAGACATGTAGAGAGAATGGAGCGAAACAGAGTGACTTCAAGAGTGTATCAGTCTGTAGTGGAAGGAAGGCGGGGTAGGAGTCGGCCTAGGAAAGGTTGGAGGGAGGGGGTAAAGGAGGTTTTGTGTGTGAGGGGCTTGGACTTCCAGCAGGCATGCGTGAGCGTGTTTGATAGGAGTGAATGGAGACAAATGGTTTTTAATACTTGACGTGCTGTTGGAGTGTGAGCAAAGTAACATTTATGAAGGAGTTCAGGGAAACCGGCAGGCCGGACTTGAATCCTGGAGATGGGAAGTACAGTGCCTGCACTCTGAAGGAGGGGTGTTAATGTTGCAATTTAAAAACTGGAGTGTAAAGCACCCTTCTGGCAAGACAGTGATGGAGTGAATGATGGTGAAAGTTTTTCTTTTTCTGGCCACCCTGCCTTGGTGGGAATAGGCCAGTGTGATAATAAAAAAAATATTATCATCATGTATCTCTCTCTCCTCTGCTCCAGTGAATACATGTTCAAGATTTGCGGCTTCCAGTGTTTAGAGGGTTTTAAAGTCAGGTGAGGAAATGATCTTTTATTTGTTCAGCTCCAATTTTCTTGCTTTAAACGGGGCCCCGTCGCCTTGAGGTTTCTAAGTGAGGGCATAGCGATTTGAAAGTGCTGCCTTAGCATTTTTTTCCTTTTTTTTGAAAGTTCTCTATCCCCTGTCGTTGTGGCTGTCATGATCTTTCGTCTTGTTTGGGTCTTTAAAAGAAAGGTTCCACTGACTAATTTTCCCCGGCTTTATGTGTTTTCCTTGTTCATTTGGTGACCCTTTGAGTTTTTATATGGGTTCCTTTGTTTTCATTCTTCTATACCTAAGCGCTGAAACTTTCACCCTGAAAATTTTTTTGTTCTCCATGCCACTGGAAAAAACCGTTGTCTTTCGCACTTGTTGTGTCCCCTAGTGTTGTGATTTATGTTATTTTAGGTCTCTGAAAATGATGATAAAAAGTGTGCTGGGATTTGTCCTGTTCTATGAGGATGAGAAAAAGCAGGGTTACAGGATGTCCCTTTGGGGCATGAGCTTTTGATTGTGATGCTGGATCTTCCCCTTTTCCTATATTTTTGTTTTCTGTGTTTTATAAAAGAAGACCCATTGTTCCCTTTCCCCCAATCCCCCGGCCCTTTTTTTGTGCACTATTCACCCCATGATCGCATTTGTCAAACGCCTTTGCAAAATCTGTAAAAATTCACATCTACTTTTTTGGCATTTTCCCAATGCCTCCTAATTCTGTCTTAGGGGTTTCGCAGCTGTGCAGGTTTGGGTTATGTTGGGTTGTACGGCCCATAAAAATTTGAATTGCCATCCATCACTTTTTGAAGATTTTTATTGTGAGAGGATGGGTACTGGTCTGTAATTTTTAGCTATGCTCTATCCCTCCCTTATGCAAAGGAGCTATGTTGCACATTTTAAGGGCCTCTGGATTTCCCCGAAAAGCTTTTCTCTGAATACTGGGGTATGTAGTGGTATTTGACTTTTTTTAAAACGGATTCATGAATTGGCCAAATGCTGAGGAGTGGGCATGTTTTCATTTCTTTTTAAAAAAAACTAGGCCTTTGGAGTAAAAAAATATTTTGCTTTTGTACCTTGCTGTCATTTAGTGGGTTTCTGAACATGATCATATGTTTTTTTTAGGATTTCACTCATTTCCTGTTCGTAGTTAGGGAATTCCTTCAGTAGTGCCCCAAATTCTAAAAGTAGTTCTTAGTTGGATTTTGGTGGAAATAGAAATATTTTGGGTTTCTTGCAATTTGTATGGCCCCTTTTTTCCCTTTGTACTCTGTATTATAATGTTTCAATTCTTAGCAGGAGGACTACGCATTGCAGCTTTTTGTGACATGTTCCCCCTTTTTGTGCAATCTGATGTCTTTAGCACACAGATCCTTGCCCCACAAAGGAAATGCTGACTTTTGCTTCTTGAACAGAGCTCATTATAAAATCCCTATTTCTTGGTATTCTAAGCTGGTTTTTGGGAGTCTAATACCCTAGCTTTTCAAGTGGGATGCAGTTTTTCACAATTTTTTTTTTGTATGGGGAAACAGCAGTTCCCCTTTGGGTTCCCCTCGTATGTGCAAGTGGCCCGACTTTTGGAAAAGAGGCGTGTCTTTTGACGTCTTTCCCAACTGTGTTCCTGATAATTCTGCTGTGGGAAAGGGGGGGGCAAGACTGCTCAAACCCTTTTGAGAGGGCAATACCCCCCCTTTCGAGGGGGTTGTCATCCCCCTTTAAAATGGAGTTTTTTCTCCACATGGTAGAGTAGTGAATTGTTCTGCTATTTAAAGAATCAGTTTTCTGGTTAGTTCTGCTAGGCAAGGTTAATGTCGAGTTCCCCCTTGTGTAGGTGTGCTTATTTTTTGTTTGTTTGTTATTAGTGTTTTTAGTTTATCACCAAAATTAGGAATATTAATACGAGGCATCATGTGTATAGCACCAACTATAATAGCAGTCTTTAAGTTTTTTACAGAGAAGTTGGTAAATATTTATTCACCGTATTCATCACTGAAGCATGTGGTGTTACAATATAATAGTTCATTAAAATAATAGATGGTAATACCTCCCTGCTTTAACAGGCTTTTTCTACTGCACCAATGTTGGCCACACACCTCTAAACATTCCATCCTCAAGAGTCAATGACGGTGTCTGTGATTGCTGTGATGCTTCGGATGAGTATGCTTCTAATGCCAATTGTGTCGACACCTGTCGAGAGTTGGGTCGTGCAGCTCGAGAGGAGGCAGCCAAGCAACGAGAGGAAAGACTTAAAGGGTATCACTTACGACAATCGATGATTGAAGAAGGGCACAAGAGGAAAAAGGATGTACAGGTTTGTGTAAAATTCTTACTCTCTCATGTTTAATTAACCTCAACTGCTGTAGTACCCTTACGGGTTTAACACTTTCCCTTGAATATCACACGAATCAAGTTTAACTTTTAATGCAAGGCTGTACTATAAAACAAATTAAGTATTTTAATAGTACTTCTCTCTCCCTATGTTATTGTCAGGTTATGAAATAGCACATTTATCTTTAATTGCTTAAAAGTGTAGAACATTGGGAGTGCCAATATTAATTATTTCAGGTTGGTTTACCAAACCATTTACAGTCCTGGGTAGACTGTTGTAAAGGTGGGAAATCTTAATGCACAGTTCAGTACCAAGGCTGCTGCTCCTCAGTTGAACAATAAACAACCTTTACTTGTTGTAGAAAGTCTTGGAATGAATGTTGCAGTATACAGTAGTACCTTAAATATATAGTAATCCAAACACCTTTATCCTCCACAAATAATTTTTTTTTTTGTAACTGCATGAGACTAATCCAGTTCGATTCATAACAGCCTCTTAAAATGATCCTCATAAAAACTCTTAACTGCTTTAAGTAGCCTACCACCTATTCTATACACTTGAAGCATCTGCCACTTTGCTCCCCTATCCACTGTCATCTGTCTTTTCTAAATCCATAAATGCAATGAAAACTTCCTTACCCTTATCTAATTTTTTTTTTTTTTTCAACAAGTCGGCCGTCTCCCACCGAGGCAGGGTGACTCAAAAAAGAAAGAAAATCCCCAAAAAGAAAATGCTTTCATCATCATTCAACACTTTCACCACACTCACACATAATCACTGTTTTTGCAGAGGTGCTCAGAATACCACAGTTTAGAAGCATATACATATAAAGATACACAACATATCCCTCCAAACTGCCAATATCCCAAACCCCTCCTTTAAAGTGCAGGCATTGTACTTCCCATTTCCAGGACTCAAGTCCGGTTATATGAAAATAACCGGTTTCCCTGAATCCCTTCACTAAATATTACCCTGCTCACACTCCAACAGATTATCAGGTCCCAAGTGCCATTCGTCTCCATTCACTCCTATCTAACACGCTCACGCACGCTTGCTGGAAGTCCAAGCCCCTTGCCCACAAAACCTCCTTTACCCCCTCTCTCCAACCCTTTCGAGGACAACCCCTACCTCGCCTTCCTTCCCCTATAGATTTATATGCTTTCCATGTCATTCTACTTTGATCCATTCTCTCTAAATGACCAAACCACCTCAACAACCCCTCTTCTGCCCTCTGACTAATACTTTTATTAACTCCACACCTTTTCCTAATTTCCACACTCCGAATTTTCTGCATAATATTTACACCACACATTGCCCTTAGACAGGACATCTCCACTGCCTCCAACCGTCTCCTCGCTGCTGCATTTACCACCCAAGCTTCACACCCATGTAAGAGTGTTGGTACTACTATACTTTCATACATTCCCTTCTTTGCCTCCATAGATAACGTTTTTTGACTCCACATATACCTCAACGCACCACTCACCTTTTTTCCCTCATCAATTCTATGATTAACCTCATCCTTCATAAATCCATCCGCCGACACGTCAACTCCCAAGTATCTGAAAACATTTACTTCTTCCATACTCCTCTTCCCCAATTTGATATCCAATTTTTCTTTATCTAAATCATTTGATACCCTCATCTTACTCTTTTCTATGTTCACTTTCAACTCTCTACCTTTACACACATTCCCAAACTCATCCACTAACCTTTGCAATTTTTCTTTAGAATCTCCCATAAGCACAGTATCATCAGCAAAAAGTAACTGTGTTAATTCTCATTTTGAATTTGATTCCCCATAATTTAATCCCACCCCTCTCCCGAACACCCTAGCATTTACTTCTTTTACAATCCCATCTATAAATATATTAAACAACCATGGTGACATTACACATCCCTGTCTAAGACCTACTTTTACCGGGAAGTAGTCTCCCTCTCTTCTACACACCCTAACCTGAGCCTCACTATCCTCATAAAAACTCTTTACAGCATTTAGTAACTTACCACCTATTCCATATACTTGCAACATCTGCCACATTGCTCCCCTTCCACTCTATCATATGCTTTTTCTAAATCCATAAATGCAATATAAACTTCCCTACCTTTATCTAAATACTGTTCACATATATGCTTCAATGTAAACACTTGATCTACACATCCCCTACCCACTCTGAAACCTCCTTGCTCATCCGCAATCCTACATTCTGTCTTACCTCTAATTCTTTCAATTATAACCCTACCGTACACTTTTCCTGGTATACTCAATAAACTTATTCCTCTATAATTTTTACAATTGCTTTTGTCCCCTTTCCCTTTATATAAAGGGACTACACATGATCTCCGCCAATCCCTAGGTACCTTCCCCTCTTTCATACATTTATTAAACAAAAGTACCAACCACTCCAACACTATATCCTCCCCTGCTTTTAACATTTCTGTCATGATCCCATCAGTTCCAGCTGCTTTACCCCCTTTCATTCTACGTAATGCCTCGCGTACCTCCCCCACACTTACATTCTGCTCTTCTTCACTCCTAAAAGATGGTATACCTCCCTGACCAGTGCATGAAATTACCGCCTCCCTTTCTTCCTCAACATTTAAAAGTTCCTCAAAATATTCTCGCCATCTACCTAATACCTCCCTCTCCCCATCTACTAACTTCCCTACTCTGTTTTTAACTGACAAATCCATACTTTCCCTAGGCCTTCTTAACTTGTTTAACTCACTCCAAAATTTTTTCTTATTTTCATTAAAATTTCTTGACAGTGCCTCTCCCACTCTATCATCTGCTTTCCTTTTGCACTCTCACCACTGTCTTCACCTTTCTTTTACTCTCCATATACTCTGCTCTTCTTATAACACTTCTGCTTTGTAAAAACCTCTCATAAGCTAACTTTTTCTCTTTTATCACACCCTTTATTTCATCATTCCACCAATCACTCCTCTTTCCACCTGCCCCCACCCTCCTATAACCACAAACTTCTGCCCCACATTCTAATACTGCATTTTTAAAACTATTCCAACCCTATTCAACCCCCCCACTACTCATCTTTGCACTAGCCCACCTTTCTGCCAACAGTCGCATATATCTCCCCCGAACTTCCTCCTCCCTTAGTTTATACACTTTCACCTCCCTCTTACTTGTTGTTGCCACCTTCCTCTTTTCCCATCTACCTCTTACTCTAACTGTTCATTTATATACCTTAATGTAAACACTTAGTCAACACATCCCCTACCCTTTCTAAAACCACCCTATTCATCTGTGATCCTGCTGTCCACCTTACCATTAACTCTTCCAATAATTCTGCCACACACTTTTCCTGGTATACTCATCAGGCTTATTCCTCTATAATTCTTACTCTCTTTTGTCCCCTTTTCCTTTATGCAGAGGAACTATGCATGCTCTCCATTAGTCCATAGGTACCTTCTCCCCTTTTATACATTTCTTGAACAAAATCACCAATCACTCCAGAATTATATCTTTTTTTTTTTTTACACAGGGTTTGACAAGGTTATTAAGGATCCTTAGCTTTATTGACAAGCTATTTACAAGTTAAGGATTCCTAGCTTTATTGACAATCTATGAGCATTTTATTGTTATGAAACATACAAGTAAGGACCAGGATGAAGTTGGAGCCATCTGTGGGCCAGCATTTTCAGTTGATCAACTGACTTAATCTCGTTGACATCATAATGCTGTACGAATGTGTTCCAGATTTGAGTCATCCTGGGGATAAATGATCTCAGATGAAGTGATGTTCTGGGGAAGGGTACAGCCGGAGTGAAGTTGCTGCTTTCTGCCCGTCTTGTGGTATAGAAGCTTGCTTCTCGCTGTCCTCGAAGTGGATCCAGGTGTGGTACTTTGACAATGTTGGCCTTGTACATAACAGTAAGACCACCCACTTCCCTCCTGTGTTGAAGGCTCTGCTGAAATGACAGATCTATCCAGGATGGGTCCAGGCGAGAGATGAGACATCTTGCTCTCTTCTGTACTCTGTCAAGTAGTCACAGATGAGAGGGGAGCAGGCAAACCAAGAAAGTGGAGTATACTCAAGGTGTGAGCGTACTTGTGCCTCATACAGAATCTTGCAACCCCTACTGTGAAACAGATGTGAAATATGGCAAAGTGCTGTAAGCTTCCTGGCTGCCTTGTTTGCAAGATTTACAGCGTGATTCTTCATGGTCAGTTTAGAGTCAAATTTCACCCCAAGGATATCAACTTATTCCCCAGGTACCAACACCCTCCATTTCATACTTACTAGTGCACTGGCATTACCATAATGGTGCGTTGAGACCATCATCATTTGTTTTCTCAGGTGCAAATGTTACTTGCCATCTGTATCCTCAAGCTGATATAGCTCTTAGCTGGTGACTGATGTAGCTTAGAGCGGCTGCCATTTCTTCTCTTGGATAAGTGAATGCGAGAGTACAGTAGTCTGCATATGCATGGGATTCTGGGTTGAGATGAAGAAGGCCATTGAAGTAGACATTCCATAATAATGGTCCCAGCACACTTCCTTGTGGAACACTTGCCCCAATAGGATATCTTGCTGATTACATTCTATTGAGAACTACCTTTTGAGATCTGCCATGAAGATAATCATCGAGGAGACATAGCATAGAGCCTGCAATTCCCAGTGCTTGAAGTTTTGCCAAGAGGCCCTGGTACCACACTTGGTCAAAAGCACCAGCAATGTCCAGTGCTATCACACAGCTGACTTTGGATTTATCCAGTGACTGGTGCCATTTAGTGGAGAGGTTTAACAACAGATCAGCAGCAGAGCAACCTTTCCTGAAGCCATATTGACTGTCACAAAGTAGTGAGTGGTAGTCAAAAAAGCTCTGTCATTTGTCTTGAGATTATTGTCTCGAGGATCTTGCTAGTGATTGACAGGAGTGACACTGGTCCGTAGTTGCTGATTTCTGCTCTGCTCTTCTCTTTGTGAACAGGGACTACATTTGCCTCTTTCCACAGAGAA